AATATCTTACTTGGGTATGCAATCATCTTCCAGCTAAATATCTCCCTTGAAGACTTATACCTCTGTCAATGAATGCTTGGTTCTTTTTGGTCACCAGTTCATGTCTGTCTATCCCTCATATAGCTTCTCCTATTAAACTAGCGCTTTTTGGGGATTTGGTCAGTAAGTTAGTTGGAGGTAATTGGCAGGGCTTCCTACTGACTAACCTCCACCAAACTGTATCACAGTAATGAGCCTCTTTGCTTGGTGGCCGCATTGCAAAATGATCGATTGAATTCGGTTGGCACTCAAGACTAGACAACATGAAATTGGCCTCTTGTTCCCCAGTAACCAATCAATGTATGTAATCCATTCCTACAGGAGGTTAATTGTGACCTGAAGAAGTCAGTGGTAATGTCGCTGACTGTTAGACTGAGTGAAGTGGGTTTGACTCTCAGAGGAGAAATCATTTCTGTTGAAGTTGCAGACACTCCTTGCTTATGAGTACCAATAAGTACGAAACCTGTATCCAGTGTTTCATTCCGATGACCTCAGAATAACTAACATCCATCAAAATGCACCGTGATGGCAAGCATCTTAGCTTGGTGATGGTCTCATTTTGATCCACACTCATGACTAGACACCAAACTGGTATCTTATTCTTTAGTGACGAATCAATGTATTAAATTTGATCTACTAGATTAGCTCCCAATATTAACGTGGTAACAGTAATAATATATAGTGGCTAACAGTGGAGTCCAGGATGCGCATTTCATCCTATTTGGGACTCGTCAGCCGGATGTGCCTGTCCCCCAGTGAGTGATGTGGTTTCTACTCAGATTCGGACTCGGGAGCGATCGCTTCAAACGCCAGAGTGTTATCCACTACACCACCGAGCCATGGTAGCCACTTCTTGTGCAACGGATACAGCTTTTAGAATAACTGCTTGTATTATACCATCGTTGATTTGACCGAATTGAACGGTCTGTAATGGCATATGGCATTGACATCCACGCAGGAGCCCATATGCTAATAGAGACCGATCAATTCGACCCAGTCAACGACTGTATGATACAAGCAATTATACTTTTAACATGATAACATTTGAAAATCTACATTTCTATCTTGAAACATGTCGAAAAAGTTTACTCTTATATCGATGCACATGGATTAGAAACTTGTCTTATTAATCACTTCTTTCACGTAATTTCAACTAGTGAAGAACAAAATCTCTGTCTATCACATCGATGGATGACACTTCTTACTTCTCATTAAGAGAACAATTATTCGGTTTTCTTAGACTACTTTAATGTAATTATTCCCATCTATATCCCGTAAGTTGGTGATAAACGTCCATAGTCGAATGTAAAATCTATAAAATCACCATATATTTGCCGGGAAAATGTGTTTTTGACTGTAGATATAAATTACATTTGTACAAATCTGAGCGTGTTTGAAGTAGAACTTCAACGTTCCACTTGAAGGACTGGTCTGAGCTTCTTTACAGGGATGACCATATCTACTTGTCGGTTTGAAAGCAAAGCTTAACCTAATACACTCTTCTTTTATAACTTCATACGTTAGACATCTTCACTCTTTGACTTTAAAGTGTAGACTAATCACCGTGATGGGATAACAACAACAGAGGTTATAGAAATAATAATAACAACCATGTCGCTATAACCATTGATCAAAATAATCACGAGTATTTGTCCAACCAGCTTTTCCAACTATCGTAGTTGGTTACAATTAGGAACAAACGTAAGTTGCGCAATAGTCAAAGATGAAGTAAAAGAGATACGTAAGTAATAGTGGGAATAGGGACATCAAAAATTAATAGGAATAACGTCAATCGTTGAGTCTTCCCTGGATGATACAAAGACTAAGACTGCACGATTGTTTTCTAAATCCTACGCTTAGAATTACGTGCTCAAATTTCTACAGTATCAGCTACTTATTTGAGACTGGTTCCAAACTGATTAAAAGACGCAGCGAAATGGGATCGAATAATTCGAATTTTTTGGGTTTGTTGACTATGTGACTATCATCAGTTAGAATGTCTTCTACATACAGCGTAGCTAACACGAATAATGAATAACCTTGAAGGCCACTCTAGGCAACTGTAAAAAGCCAGTTACGTTCCCTTATCTTAGGGTAAGACTAACTTGAGGGTGGAAATAAAGTAACCTAATTGGTTATTCCGGTCGTTACTAGGATGACCTTTAGTCTATCCGAATAATTCCAGTGTAATTATTCAACAACAAAATACACATTCACATGACCCAAAAGCTTATTGTAAAATGTATAAAAATCTACATGAGCTAGTTAAGAACTATATTCTTCTCGTTCAACTGATATTTGTTGTATACACTTGATCAGTCGACTAAATCTTATTTGTCAACTGTCAATTACGATCATTATCCAAACTGTCGGCTTAGTGAGACTCATCCTTTTCTTCTCTATATGTCCACTGAAGCTATTTCTTTCTGTATGACTATCCAAAATTAATTATCACTTATAACTGATACTTCTTTTCAACTAATATACCAACACTGGGCAAAACCGCTGGTAGTTGAAGTGAAATTAAGATCTGGCCAGCAGCTGGGTTTCATTCATGGAGCACTAAGCCGGTAACCCGAAGGCCGCTTCTTCGAATCTTGCTGCAACTCAAATTTCCTTTCCACTCTCAATCATAACGCAGTATCAATAATGCAAGTCTGCTAAACCGTAGCTACTTTAGATGGTCGAACTGATAATTACTATCACTATTGTTATAATTATTACAGTTATTTGCCACATGCATGAAAGTTGTTGTGTTTTGCCCATGTTGCTATGCTTGGAAAACGCCCTATCTCTAGTTCCATTCAAAAATAACAGATGAAAAATATGAGTAACCCATCTACTTTCTACTAAAAGTTAGTTAAGTAAGTAGTAGCAACCTTCACTGTAAGCCTGTAAAATCAGAAGTGATACTGGTTTTTACAGATGAACGAGCCTGTTGATTTGCATACAGCTACTGACAGAAAGTATTCAACTTCAGTCAACTCTTATGACAGTTCGCAAGTTATCTCCTGGTTCCAAAATCATAATACAATAAACAGTTTACTATGATGGTTAAACTGGTGTATGATAAAGTGCAATCAGTAGTCCTGAGAATAATAAATGGTGTCTGTTGAAATTAACTGAAGGGAGCTAATTACTTTCCTTAGAGGTTGAGACCGGTAAATCATCGTGCTCATTCACTTCATCTTTACAACTCATTGTCTATTTATTATTATGCTTTCTATTCATTACTCTGTATTACAATTACTCAGTCTTTTATCCCTGAGATAGCTTCACTTAATAAGGATTCACTTTTCTTCATATCTGGCACAGATAAATTTACAGGTGATAGATGTCACCTGAAGCTCTTTTAAAACAATCTTATCATCAAACTTAAATAACTATTGAGTTCTCAGTCATTTTTGGTTTACATATTCGTGTTATTACGAATCAACTGAAATAATATATACTTAAATCACCAAAGCAGTGCAAGTTGAACCACAAACTCCTTTTGTACACATGAATTAGGCTTAACAGGTCAAATAACCGGCAAAACGTAACAATCTACTACAACCGTTCTGTTAATCAATCACATAGAAAGCATTGTTTAACTCCACAACGTGACTTGTATCAATAAGATGTCTATCTATGGGATTGATTGGCAGACTTGAGTTTGGTGGTGAAAAATTCTTTGTTACATATTAAGAGATTCTTTTGGCAAGGACCCCTGCATTCTTCTGACGTATGCGCTACTGCAGATTGCATTTAAATAAGTAAACGCAACTGGAGGTAACTAGAGGATATCTCCTATTCAAGTTAGATTCTCTTAGTATGTTCTTTATGTTATGAATAACAACACACCAGAAATAGTCAATAAGATCGAAGTATTTATTTGTTAACTGTTTTGTCAGCTCAAAATGTCTCCTTTAAACAGCATTTGAATGAATACATTTTTAACAACAGTTTTTTCTCCACATGAATATTCCCCTCTATGAAAGCAAAACGATCGGAGTGGAATGATATATTACCATTTTATTTCACTCATTTCTCATCAGCTGCTTACGACCTACATCATTGAAGTATGATATCACAAAAGAATTCGAACATACTTTTTTGTAGTTGAATGAAGTCGGTTAACAGAGAACGACATGGTTCAATAACGAATACAAATATCCGGATAAAGTTGACAAGATATGCTAAGAAGTTTAAGTCCCAGAAAAGATTATGAATTGTAATAAAGGACTACGCAAGTAGATTAATAGGTCGGTTAGTTGATGTTAAATAACAGACAATATACATATGTTATGATATCATGAGTTGAACTCGTTTGGAAGGACCTCCATTAAAACTATGTGTAAACAGGAAAAAGGTCCAGTTAAAAGATGCTGTGTCATCAAGTAAGATGAAGTGTAAAATATTAGGTTATCAGAGTAAAGAAAGACTTATCATTGCTTCTTTCTGAACATACAATTCTGGTTACAGTTGTTTGAGGACTACGGCTTCAGGGAACTTGAGAAAGTTCAAATTACTTTGTTTTCTGATTTTCTTTAAACTATAGATACTGGGTCCAAGTCTCAATGGGAACACCATCACTCACCTGGGTGCAAGCACATCCAGCTGACGAGTCTCAAATAGGATGAGATGCGCGTCCTGAATTCCACTAATAGCCATCACCAAGCAAATTACTATATTACCTACTGTTTAGCTTAAGCAACTTTGTTCATTATTTTTGGTTGATTTCGTATTTTGATTTTGTTATTACATGTATAAACGCGTAGGTTGCAAATTGTACACAAAACTGAGGAAAGAATTACTGATAGCTAGTGACTTATTTTCGTCTGGTTTCAGTGTCACTTACACGACACTTGAAATATATGCTGTATCCATATCATGTGACCAAGATCATAAGTTTATTTACCGGTACAGCATCATATCCCCTTAGTCGCTTTTCTACCTATTTTCTTTCCTTCAATTTATAGTTTGGGAAAATATAGTGTTTGGGAAGGCAATCCATATTGTGAACCGCATTATCTTGTGTTATTTAAAGCATTTGGTAAGTTGTTTGCATTATTCCATATATTTTCGAGTAGATTGTTGCGTAAAATACTAATTAATTCACTGTAAATCTTTATGCTAGACTGTATTTTGTGATAGCATCTGATTGAGTGTTTTATTACTGACTGGTTGAAGTTGAAGTGATTAACTTACTGAATGAGTGTTCTACATTAATATTCAATTGACTGACGACGATAACACAATGAATCAATTTAATTCAGTCTAAGTACTGTAAAGAAGAGGGAATTTAACGGTAAAGATTTTAGTAGACAATTATGCATCTTTCATTGATATTACAATTCATTAATAAAGAACACTATGATTGATATCAAGACCTGGTGGGATAGATGAGGGAGACTGTTTGCTCAACTTCTTGTGAGACCTGTTTCTGCCTTCATTTGTAGATCGTTATCCTTGTCCATGGAAAAATGAGTAATAAGTATAAATCGTGTTTGAATAGATACAATTGTACACTACATTATGATTAACAATGTAAATCCCATATTTGCCACTCACATATCAACTCATACAACCAATCTCTCATGTACTTCACGAACTAAATACTCTTAACTGATATCAACTGTGAACCTGTCTTCTAAACTTTGGTTTTCATCATATAATCGATTTCTTTACATGTAATGAATAGCGTAGTGATTATGTTCCATTGATATTGGTTCATGTTTTGGGAGTATAATATAAAAATAATAAAAGTTGATGAGCTAGCGGAATGGTAAAGTAATGTGATCTTGCTCGTATTGTGTTCTCTGAGCTGGGTTGTTTAGTCGTGGAGCTTTCATCGTCTTGCTAGATGACATCATCAGTACTAACTTCAGTATAAAGTGAGCTGTCAAAATTTCTCCGTGAGTGATTTAGTAGCTTGTCCTGACGATGTGGTCTGTGATTGGCTGTTTCTTTTGATTGTTGTGTCGTTGACTGTATAGATTTCCTGTTGGCTGTCCCTCTGCTTGACCTCTGACCTCTCTGTCATTTATCATTTTTCTCATTGGTTGGTAAATTGGGTCTATTGATTGCTGACTGATATGAACACCAAGCTTGTAGAAATTCTCTGATATTTTTTGTGTTTCCTCTGTCAAAAATTTGTACATTGTCAGAATTGAATTCATGTCCATAATTATCCAAATGCATTGAAATGAGTGATGAAATGTCGTGACGTTTAATAGCCAATTAGTGTTCATGTAGAAGAAGGCGAAGAGGATGACCACTTTGTCCAATGCAGTGTTGACTGCCGTTATCGCAGTTGATTTTGTAAATGATATTCGGTTTGTCTTCTTTGGTTGTTTCATCCTTTGGTCTGCATAATAGTGTTTGGAGGGAATTTGTAGGTTTATGAGCCACACCAATTCGATGTGGTCTCAGTAATCTTGTCATGATTTCTGATATATTCTTTATATACGGTAGAGTGATGCACTTGTTGATTTCTGTGGATGACTTTGTAGTTGATGTTGTACGGGATAGGCATCTTCTGATAAAGTCTCGAGGGTAGCCGTTCTTCTTTAGGGTGGACATCAAGTAATTTTCTTCGTTTCTCTGTGAAACTGAGGTATACAGGAAGCCAATACACACTTATCCAATCCTCAAATACAGTAGCTACTGTAGTTGAGGATTTGATCATTTTGCTAAGTTCATCATCACCAAAACAATGCCACACCATTGGAGTGTATTACTTTCGGGTCAATACCTTCTCAGTGAACAAACTAGGTAGCGATCTTGTTTAAATTAAGCTGCATTATGAATACTGTCACTAAAATATCCCAGTAACGCTACATTTTCGTTTTAAAATTTACCTAGTATAGCACTTATGAAGTGGAAAAGCTTCGTTTAACAGTTGCTTCTACCTTGTTCTATATAAACTCGTTTAACTTCATATCACAGAATTCTGGAATTCCTGTCGAAAATTGCATCTTTTCATTTGATCACCTAGTGTCTTAAATAAACGATGATTCGAAGTAAGCGGTGTTCTCTATTTTCACATAAAGTGCAGGTATGGACAAACTGTTAATCACCTTTATAAGATACCACAAAAAACCCAGCAGCGTTGACTGAAGTAACGAAATGCGTGTGTGAGAGAGAGTATTTGCTGGCATCAATCAGTGTATCTTGCCTGTATACCTAACAGATTCATCTGAAATAAAGTTTTCTTTTCGAACGCCAGTTATCCATACAATTCTAAATGACAAATCATAGTTTTGTTCATTAGCTAATGAAATATTCTTTAAAATTTTACAGGACACTATGACAGCAATGTACCTAAAACTTCAAATACAACATCCGATTCATCGTCTCACGGTAAGTAGTAGATTACAATATTATATGCATGTACTTTATATTTCCCGATGACTTCTTGTATTGAAATGGATTATCACGAAGGATTACCTTTTACTTACGTGTCTTGTGAAAACTTTGTTTGCAACTGTGTTCTGGTGGAGAGCCTTTGGAAACTGAGGAGCAATTGGCTTGTTATACTTATCTACTATCTTAGAGTGGAAAGAAAAGGTAACCTTTATATTTGACGGTGAATAAGATCCTACAATGATCCCGATCAGTTCACTTGAAATCCAATTATCTTTTATTCTTAGACATCCATAGTTTCTTAGGCTGAATTTAATCTATAGAAAATACTTTCTTCATATTTTTTTCTTTGCAATCACTTCGCGTTACACGTTGCTATACACCTGTTAGTTTTATTTTCGTAATTCCTTCATCAATAAAGTATATCTATTTCTTCGGTGGTAGTGTGGAATTGGTATTTCCTTACAGAGGCTGCTCATTAAAACCTATGGACCCGATGATGGTTATTTAGGTAGGTTATCACTGAATGACCGGTTCATACGCTAAATACAAGTCTTAAAATTTGTCTCTATTTACACGAAAGCTTTGGAACTTAGGCAGTGTAAGATTTCTTGTTCATTAACGCTATTTACATTTGATACCAAAATCTTCAATGACTTTAGGGTGCCACAATGATATTCATCATGGACTGACATCATTTGGAGAAACACCGAAAACCTAGGAGCATTGGACACTTGTTTCATCCTAGTGTGGGACTCCTTAGCGGTACGCACCCATAACCCCTCCCCACCGAGGATCTAATCCAGAATCTTCAGGTTTCGTGGTGAACACATTGACATTGGTCAGAGCTTACCAGTTTTTTTAGCAAGTAAGCAGAATAATTTGTTTTGGACAGCAGTCGTTTATACTGAACTGTTTCACCATTATATATATATATATATATATATATATATATATATATATATATATATATATATATATATATATATATATATGGTTCAGAGAATTGGGGCGTTATGAAAAGCATTTACAACAAACTACAGACATTCACCAACAACTGCCTACGCTCATCCGATATTGAAGATCAGATGGTCAGAATTAAAAGAATAAGCTACAAGAAACTCTGGGAACGAACCAACCGAGAACCTATCACCCAACAAATGTAAAAGGAAGTGGAGATGGGTTAGGGATACACTAAGGAGGCCGATTAGGGAAATCACTTGCCAGGCCCTTGAGTGGAAACCGCTTGGGAAACGACGAGTTTGGCGTTCAAGTCGAGGGTGACATGGAGGAGATCACGTGAGAAAGAAATGAAAGCTTCTGGGCATTGGTGGGGCGAAGTTGGAAAGACTGGAGAGAAGAGCGTGCAATGGAGGCGTGCTACTGAAGCTCTATGTTCCACTAGAAACCCAAGAGAAAAAAATAATAATAATGCTTTGTCACATTCTGGAAAAGATTATGCTTAAAATCTGAGCAGCTGCTGTATTCTCATGCCTATTTTACACTATGATATAATTTTTAATTATTACTGCATTTTATATTGTCTATAATATCCCGAAAATACTATCTGAAATGAATCGTCAATCAGCTTTTTGTTATTTCTGAATTTTCTTTATACCAGTGAATTTGTTTATTCCTAAAAAAAGTAAAATAAAATGACGAAAATTTTGTTCAGTCAGTCTATTCCTTCTTACTTTGTTCAAATTTATGAAGAGAATCAGCTGTTTATGGGGAATTTTTTCCTTCTGAATCGGTAATCATTTTCAAAACCAACTGAAATTAACCAAGTAATAATTTAAATATCTTACAAATTAACTAAGTTTTTTTAAAAAAAAATAATACTTCACGTTGATTCATCGTTCGTGCTGAAAAAAAAATCGTTTTACAAGTAATGTTTAGCAATGAAATTCATAGGTCAGATCAAGAGAATGTAAATACCTCCTGTAGATCAACTTATTGGCTAGTGGTGGAATTCGGAACTAACCAGCTGGATGAACTTGCACCCCGGTGGATGATTTTGTCTTCACTGAGACTCGAACCCAGTACGCATCACCTCAAACGCCAAAGTTATATCCACTGGGGTACGAAAGTCGTTACTTCTGTGTTAACCAAACAGTAATTCATTGTTAACAATTTCTCCATAGAGGGGTCAAGCACTTATCAGTTTGCTTTCAAATTATCAGCGTATACTTCCTGTCTTGATCTCCACACATTTGTCTCAATTGCCTCTTCAGTTGTTATTCTTGTCATTTTGCTGTCTCCGGTTTAAAACAAATGCCTAAAAGTCTTTTTGGAGGTTATTTGAATTGTTCACAGTAATTCTTGCTGATTGGTTTATTCTTACTTTTTATGCACTCATTTGCCCTTAAATGATCTCATTCAATTAATTTCTTTGCTTGTTACAAAATTCAAAACTAAACTAACAGACAAATATTCATCAAAATGAGACAACAATGATAAACAAAAGTAAGGTAGAACGTGACCAGGTATTTTCTTGGCCTCACAGCAAATCTTGGACACGCCTACACAAAAATTGTTTAAAGTTGTCATGACTCATTATGGTCATCAGTTTAACCAATCAAATGTATAGGGTTTTTTTAACCAATAAAGAACACGATGATTCAGACATTCTTTGTTCCGTATAAGTATTCTCAGCCCAAAACGGATAAAGCAGATTGTATCTTGACAATACATCATCTAAATTTTAGTTGCTACGTTCGGAGATTAGAAGTTAGTTTTGTAAACGTATTGGCTTAAAACCAGAGCTACTGGAGGCCACCCTAAAAACAACTGAAATAACCAGTTAGGTTTCTTCAACTCGAAGGACAGTTTTTCACAAAATGACAGAGGTTGTTAGGGTGGACTTTAAAGTCACTCAAAATATTCACTGAGTAACTTTAAAGGCCATCCTAGCCGCTAATGGAACACCTAATCACGTTTCTCTATTGTGTGGAAATTGGTCTTCCCAGACAAAATGCCGCAACCTGATTGGTTATTTTGTTAGTTGTTAGAGTGGCCTTTAAGGTCACCCTACTCACTTCTGAATGTCAACAGGTTCTTTACACTGAAATTAAATTATTAGTTCGTTTCATTTCTTTTGAATCCAACCTTCTCTGGAAAGGTTGAGAACCGTTTTGACAAACTGTTCATGTCCTTCATTTAAGTATATCACAAGGATCTTCATAGGATACAAATACCTCTTAAAATAGCAGTTTATGTTTGCGTAACTACTTCCACTTGTAAATTTAAAAGGCTGTGCAGGTTATTCTTTTTAGTGATAACTTAATACACTTTTCATTTGTAGTAGCTCTATCAGAGTAAGCATAGTCCTAAGAAGCTTTCCAAAAGATACTTATCTCTAATGCTAGCATGTGACAACAAGCTTTGGGATTGGTTTCCATCTAGTTTCACAGATGTTGGGTTCGAAGTATTTTTGTGAACAGTTATTCCACTCGATAGCTTTCAAGATGTTTGATGCTGTAACTCTCTTCCACCAGCCATTATCGTCATTACTATCATTATTATTTCCGCTGAAATCCTGGAATGTTGGTATTCATCATGGACTAACATCAATTGGAGGAATATTGGAAACCTGGGGCACTGGAAAGCTATTTCGTCCTAGTATAGAACTCTTCGGCAGTGCGCACCCATGACCTGACCAGGGGTCGAACCCGCGGCCCTCAAGTTCCGTGGCTATCACGTTACCATTGAGCCACTGGGTCGGAATCCAATGGTTCATATTTCCAACTTCTGTCAGTTCGCAACGTAGCGCGACCGCCACCCAATGTCTTGCATTCAGTTCAGTGAGTGGGGAAGGCGCTGGGTAAAGCGTAGACAAGTACACAAATATTCAGATGGTAAGACATGTAGAAAGTCAAACTCATTTGACAGTTCCAGTTCTATATCTTTCAGTTGTCTGTTCGAACAAGTGAAATCAAGGGATGCTGGTTTATTTGTCGTTATAACAGTTTAAAATCATTCAGTTATGAATGGCTTTAAAGACCACCCTAGCAACTGCTAAGATAAACAATTATGTTTCTCTATTCTATGAAAAACTAACTTCCTAGTCGAAATTTGTTTGGTTATTCGAGAAGTTGCTTGGATGACCTGTAGCGCAGACACAACCGTATAGGCAATAAGTATGATTCATACCTTAAAGTGTAAACACAGCTGGTGCTTTGTTGCATTCACTTCAAAAGCTATAGGTTTAGATTTGGTCGCTACCTAAGTTTTCTTTTTAATTTGGTGATTATTCTCGTACTCATGAAATAATCTACTGACTGAGACTAACCTCAATCAATAACTACCACTCTTAAACAAGTGTTAGAATTTACAGAGGCATTTATCAAGTAACTGGCTAGTGTCAGGTTATGAATCCTTTTGATAATAATCTCAATGATAATAACGGCTTCAAAGAATATAAACAAACTTCTTGGACGATTCCCAGTACAATAGACAATCATAGTAACTGAAGTAGACAGTAACCGAGTTGCAACGTAATGCTCACATTTTTCATCAGGCTTATGAATAATTTTATACACCATGAAAAGTAGTTTTCTTATGACCAAGCTTGACAACTCAGGTTTACTTCACACCAATGGGTTGTAATTTGCTAGGTTGTCAGCTCATGATTTTCTATAGTTAAGCTTTCAGTCTATTTCTCTTTGTCTATCGTCTGCTCAAACAGAGAAAAATCGCTCAGCTGTTATAAATGCTTAGATGGCGTGTATAACCGACAAGTAGCTTGCAGCTAATTCAACTTATATAAACGTTCTTACTATTTTCATGTTGTATACACCCGTTATTTCACATAAAACTGCCCGTTGGAAGATTTCTTTTGAAGTAAGAAGTATATTTCCAACTTTGTCATGTGAAATGTATAAAGATGAGAAGCGCTTCTCCCCATATACTGTCGTATCCAATCTACCCACTTTCAACTGCTAAGTCAACACAGAACCTTGTGAAATTTGAAACAGACTGAATGTTACTCCGTTTCT